AAAAAAAAAACAACAGAAAAGGATTAATAATGAGTAATCAGGTTAAATACTACTATGAAGGAAAGACATGAACGGCCGGTTTCTTGGGAAGCAAGAAAAGCATTATTAGTCCATCTTTACCATAAAAACAAAATGAGAAACATAATAAGAAATGTGAAAAGCAAGGAAACAGAATTACAATAACAACAGAATTTTGATGTCGCTAAGAATGCGCAGAAACGAAATAAACGGAAAAAATCATCGACGCAAAAAGGAGCACCTGAAATCCAAGGGAGAACAAATGAGGAAAGCTTATCATCAGTCTTAGGTCACCACTGATGAATGTCCACAAAAGCAAGATTGGTAAGCATATTATTCCTACAAAAACAAAGAAATTTGAAAGAGATTTACGTGGTGAGTTATCTTCAGAATTTACTGAGATTTCTTCCTCTTACCATTGGACCACATAAGGCCAAAGGTATTCAGACCACTGGATTTGCCTGAAATATTGAAAGCACATGGTCTGTTAACAGTAGGAAGTTAAGAAGGAGAAACAAAAAATCAAATGAGGAAAAAAAATTGAAGGCAGAAATTAATTACCAATACGGGCAATTGAAGCAAGGTATATTGCTGTGCAAATGTTTGCTACAAAGACAACAGAATATCCATAGGCATCGAAAGACAAATCACGAGCCCCGGCAAAAAAGGCGCCAAGTAATATCATCCCCACACTGATGAAATCCTTGGATTTGTTCCATTGAGAAAGGAATTAGGAACACCGAAGTGTAATTAATGAAATCTAACCTCATAGAAATTTAATTATGCAGAATGGTCGAGATCACCAGGGAAGAGCAGTCTCAAAGAAAGAGAGTTAAACATAATGATGGCATAGTACACATACTATAGCACCTCATGGTAGTCACTATAACTTATAGGCACTTTGCATTAGACATGGAATTCATTTATAACATGATGAAAGTACCCGTGAAGTGCTATTTGTCATTTACAATGACGGGAAATACTACTCATAATAAATGGGTCTTACCTATGTGGAGTCCATCATTGAATGAATGAAGCTTATTTGTTACTCTAGCGCAGAATTAGCACGTGGATCAATATAAATCTTGTGTGTGCTTTTTTGTCTTTAATTCTATTTTATTGTTTGCGTTAGTAAAGGATTAAGGCATCTAATTCTTAACATCCATGTTAAGGACTTACCAAATTATACCGGTG